AGCCCATCTAATGTTACCCAGTGTATGGCATGTGCTTGCTATGGTAGCCCTCCTATCGGCTATCAGTCAGCCTAAAACACATGTAAGGGGCTGCTTATATAGAGGCGAGCCACCCAGGTAACCTGCCTATAGCTCGCTTTCCATGGATGAATGTCTGGTTACATGAGCCTCTTTAGATGGGCAGGCTTGCCAAAACAAATCACCCGGACTGAGTTATATAGTAGAAGCACATTTCCCAATTAAGTGAACCAACAAGTGATCAATCACTCATACTTTTGCAGACAGTCTCGAAATGTATAAACTGACAAAAACAATCACAGAGATCTTTTTACCCAGGGCCCAGGGGTAATACTGTGCCAAATCGTTGGTGATTGTATATAATTTATATGGAAAATCCTAGCTTGGCATCAGCAAGATTTTGGGACAATGAATTTTGGGTCAATTATGCACCTCTATTTTAAACACCCTTTACCAGAAAAGTTGTATTAATTTGGATGATGTTAGTTCAATTGCATGCTTACATTAAATGAGTAAAAGCATTTGAATTTTGTATTTCTTGCTTTGTATATGCAAACAACCAAAAATAGCAAATGTATTGTCAATCAATCAATAATTTTTATTTTGTGTGTGTTGATGTTATGTATTCAGGTGAATATATTATGTTTGTGATGTCACTGTGAGTGTGCACCCACACCGGGCAAGCTGAAAAGTTAGCTTGGCCACAGTGGGAATCGAACCTGTGACCGTGGCCAAGCTAACTTTTCAGCTTGCCCAGTGTGGATGCACACTCAGTGAGAGTAACATCACAACATCATATATTCACCTGAGTACATGACACCAACACACACAAAATAATCGTAACATTGAATACCACTGTACACTGATATTGAAGGAACTAGACTCGTTGGAACTAGTTGCAAAATATCATCAACTCGAACAGACTTGACCATGTAGCTCAGTTGGCAGAGCATTGGACTAGTATCCCAAAGGCCGCAGGTTCGATTCCCACCATGGCCAAACTAACTTTTCAGCTTGCTCGGTGTGAATGCACACTCAGAGTAACATCACAAACATCAATCAATAATTTGCTGCTGTTATATATCAACCTTATATATTGTTTTCTTACTAGGGATTGTCATTAATATATGGATTCAACAAAAGCTTCCCAGGAGAAGGCAAGTTGTCTAAACAAGTGGTATTATATGTAATCATTAATGGCATTCTAAGAACTTCATGGTCTATTTGGAATATGTTATTCTTTTGCTGGAGAGAATTTTTGTGAATTAGCAAACCATGCAAGGGATGGAGTTGCCGACTTGTGGTATACAGCTTGTTTTGTACTAAATTTTTACTAATGGACTTGCTTGACATGTTTGATTGAGCAGTGACACTACATACATTTGATACATGCAGTATATTTTACTTGTAAATATTCTACATTGAACAGAATATTAACCCTTTAAGTGGCAATTTGCTTTACTTTTTTACTTTTTCTGTCTAATGTGGTCAGACAATTTTTGCTCATTAAGGAGAGAGTGCTGCCACTTAATGGGTTAAAGCTTTTCAGTAAATGTAAATATTTTGAACGATAACTATATAATACTGTGCTGGGAATGGAACCTGCTGCCCTGTGATTCTGATCAGCTTTTTAACCGTCAAGGGTCCTCAAGCCCTAAGAGTCCATCGCCCTGAGAGTCAATCAAACTCTACTGTAACCAAGAGTTCATGTACATAATACTAGTGTCATCATGGGCAGTTTATTTAATACACTACCAATGACACCACCATGGTATATATACAGCAACTTGTGGTTACCTCTTGGCAAAAGGGCTCTTTAGGTCAGAGGGCTGTGGTAGAATTGCAGTGCTGCAGGTTCAATTCATGCTTGACAGGCTTGTAATTGTATTCCACATGTATTCATGATATCATTCTAATGAAAATTTCATTTTAGAACTGCATTAAATATTATAGGGCGTAAGAGTATATCATTATATTATGCTACAGCAAATTGTATTTCCTGCTATAATATACCTTACTTGTAGGGATAATAAATTATTTTGACTCGAAAAATGTCTAGTTTATTGATTTCTAAAGTTAGTTAAAGACTTTTCTTTACTCCGATATATAGAAGTCATTTTGTCTCCAAAGGAGTCGAATTGACTCCAAAAGTGGAGTAAATAAAAAAGGTACAGAACGACTCCTTTTTTGGAGTAAAATTTACTCCTTTATTTACTCCATTTTTGGTGTAAATTTTACTCCTTAAGTAGAGTTGTTTTTACTCTTTGAGGAGTAAAACAACTCTACTTATGGAGTAAAATTTACTCCAAAAATGGAGTAAATAAAGGAGTAAAATTTACTCCAAAAAAGGAGTCGTTCTGTACCTTTTTTATTTACTCCACTTTTGGAGTCAATTTGACTCCTCGAAATTAACAGTGTAGTGAAATACAATAAAAACATTCGGCGTGTTGAGAGAATGACGTCACATCCTCTTCAAAACGCCTTCTCGCTTAATTGGCTGCGTTTAATGGCGGCCGTGAAATTGGCAAATAAGAATCGTAAAAAAGTCAGGAAGATGAACGAATTTTGCCTTGAAATTTGGTAAGAATATCAAGCATACGTTATATTTCTGGATTATGAAAAAAAAACATTTTAATGATAGTGCCACTTTAAAATCCTTTCCACTGCTAGTTCTGAAGCAGATTTGCTCATTCGTGAAAGCCTTTTCATATCCAAGCTTAATCCTACTTTAAATGCCAACATTAGGTCAACTCCTCTTGACCTTTTCTATATAATGCTTTGCTAGATCTCTAATTACTAACCATTATATCTTTAATTTACTAATGACAGGTTGTTTTTCATCCTTCCTCTTATTCGCTTATTTGAATACTGTAACCGTTTGAATATATATATAATACACGCTTGTAAATAAGTTTAATTGCTCTGAAGATGTTGTGAACAATACAACGAAACCTTAGCCAATAAAATTTATGTTTTGTTATGTCTTGTCTGAAAGTCATTTGCTTGGCTTTAATTTTCATTTTTAAATTACGCTTTCCACCCGGTGTATCAATCGCTACTCTTTCTGAAATATAAAAAAAGATCTCAAAGTTTCGAGCAAAGATCTTTTCTCAATGGAATGTGACAAACTAACTGACTCTCACCTATAGAGTTACAAACTCTTAAAACAAAATGCCTTTGCTCAATAACTGTGGTGGACTTTGAGAAGCGATTTATAATTCAATTGATTCTTAGCCCTCTGAAGGTAAAAACTAGTAATTTATTATATTTCTCGGGGAGTGTCAACGCTGCATGGCACAACGGTCGACACTAAGCTGTGGTACGTAGATTAGACGAGGATGTAAAGACCAGGGGAGATACGTCAGAAAGATGTAAAACATGCTGAGATACGTCAAGTTCGCCACTTTGTCATCCTTGCAAGTTCAGGGCCCCCTTAATTGATTCTGCCCCCCTGGCTTGAGCCAAGCAGCGCCCAAAGGAGACACGCCACTGTTTAGAAGTAGCAATAATCAGTGAATTCGCATAAAAAGTTTTAACTTTTGGCGTGGTTATGAGCTATAAAAATGATGAAAAGTTCACCACCATGAGTGGAATCGCACTTCCCTGAAATTTATCTATGCGGGAAATTTTAGTTTTGGGATTTTGCCGCCGAGAAGAGAAATATATTTTCTAGGTTTGACTCGGTGCTTCATTTCAATTGTTACGTATGGCTGCACTTAGAGTAGTATTCTTGGATGACTGCATGCCTTTACATGTTGCAATTGCACATAACTTGCCTTTCGGTGTTCCTATAACAGAGAACCGAAATCCCAGGAAGATGAGAATTTGTTGACTACGTAGAAAAATCAATAGAATGAGTATGTCTGGCAAATCACGAAAACAATACAAAAATACATGTGAATCATAAAGTGCGAAGATTTTAATTTTTAGTGTTCAAGCGAAACAATTCATTGCATTAACCTTTCAAGGTCAAAACTCAAAACCACGAAACCTCGACCTCTAAGCGCGTAAAGCACGATGGACATACATGCAGTATGTAATTAATAGTCCGAACACAACGTAGTTACGCGGTTTCTACGTTCCCCAAGTCGTTTTGGTACCGGCATTTCCGTTGATTTTTGTCTTTCTCAGATTTTATTTGCCCGCCTAACCCAATTCAATAGCAAACTTGGCAGAATTCAGTGGATTTTTAAACTTTTTAGTGTTAAAGAAAGTTTGCATAAATGTGCTGACATGTATGCATAAATAATCTCATAATAATAATGCTTTGCGCGTGTAGAGGTCAAACTTTGGCGGTTTTCTCTGGACAACCTTCATTGAATTAGCTGTATACAGAACGCTTGCTGTTATAACAGAAACTATATATTAGTATTACACAGCAACGAATTATAAGCCTCCTGGTAGGAACCGAACCTTCGCCCCTGCGATTCTGCTGCAGCGTATATGTTTGACTTTGCGCAAAACATCTCTACAAAATGTTGTTGGAAACTACCATATGAACATTTCCTGTTGTTGTTTAGAATTGATCAAGACAATGATGGATCCAGTAAAAGCCAAAGCTAATTATTCAAGAGTATGTCAACTTTTGGTTGACAAAGGAGGCGAAGCGTTAAGAGGTGCTTTACATGCAAAACATCCGCCCTCCACTTTAGCTACTGTATTAAATGCCAACAAAAGGACATTAAACAAGATAAGGTACAGTGTAATTAAACCATCACAATGGGACTTACTCTTTCCAGTTTCGGGCTCGCCAGATTCAAACAATTTTGATATCACTTTATTGACCATCCTACTCAGAAATATTTGTGGCTTGACTTCACCAGCAACAGGATGGAATGTTATGCCTTCACCCAGCGACACCTCGGAATCTGCAAATATTGCGAGAATCAAAATCTTCAGAAACGAGGTATATGGTCATATACCAAGCCCTCAATTAGACGACACCAGGTTTGAAACATTGTGGCAAGAAATTTCGAAACCTTTGATCAAGTTAGGAATTCCTCAACAAGATATTGACGAATTAAAGGAAGCTACTCTCAGTGCCGAAGAAGAAAGTTACATTGAAAAATTAAAAGAATGGAAAGAACTGGAGGACGATCTTTTGTCAAAACTAAAGGATCTTGAAAGGGGAGTCCTTAATGTGGAAAATGAAGTTCTCGAGTTACGAAGGATAGTTGAAAATGTGGTACCCTCACAAGTCGACCAACTAGCCAAGTTTGACTTCACAGGAAAGATTGATGGCCTTTGTAAAAAATTTCAAGATGGCACTAGAAAATGGTTCTTTGAGAAGCTGTCAAGTTGGTTTGATGATGAAGAATCCAGAGTTATGATTCTGACTGCAGGTCCTGGCGCTGGAAAGAGTGTTTTGTCTGCAAAGATTTGTGAGATGTACAAAGAACGTGGTCAACTTGCAGCTTATCATTTTTGCGACTTTAGAAATGCTGATTCAAGAAATCCTCACAGAATCCTCCAATCTCTTGCCAGTCAAATGTGCGATAACGTTCATGGATTTTCTGACATACTAACTGAAGTTCTTCGTCGTGAACATTCTCGAGACTCACTATCAGACGCATTTCGCGTTCTCTTAAACGATCCATTACATGCCCTCGACAGCCATAAGCCAATGCTGATCGTTGTGGATGCTTTGGACGAGAGTAAAACTGAAGACAAAAGTGAATTTTTGGAGTTAATATCAGAGAACTTTCGTGAACTGCCAGAATGGATTAAGATATTCATTACGAGTAGACCAGAGCTGCAAGTACGGAAGGAACTTCAATGTTTAAATCCCGTGGAAATTCTTCCTGACGACCACCATCACAAGCGCGACTTAGAGCATTTCATTCACCATTGTTTGCCGAAACTGAATGAAGGTAATGTTAATTTTCTTGTTTCGAAGTGCGAGGGTTCGTTTCTGTACGCCTATTACTTAGTCGATGAATTAAAAAAAATGGACTTGGGAATTGAACCCAACCTAAGTGATTATGTCCCCAAAGGTATTTCTGGGTTTTACGAAAAACAGTTCAAACGTTTGAGAACAATGCTCCAAAGTTTTCACTCAGATACCTGGTCCCCTAGCTTCAAACGTTTTGTAAACGTTATTGCTGCTTCAAGGGCGCCCCTTCCAATAAAGATTCTTTTTGCATGCATCGACCTGTCCGGTGAGGAGTTTGAAATACGTGAGGCGATAATTGGAATAATGTCAGAAATTCTCCCTGTTTACGAAGGTTGCTTGACTGTTTACCATAAGTCATTATGGGATTGGCTAAAATTAGACGGGTATGAGGAGCATGCTTTTGTAGCAGATGTTGCAGACGGCAGTGAACGTCTCTGGCGTGCTTGTAAGAGCATATATAGCGATATAAATGGTTTAAGATCAATTTCTGATTTTCAAATGTCGCCTGAGACAAGGTATGCGTTGGAGAATGGTGGGAAATATTTGCTGGATGTTGCTGACACGGAGGATTTTCACTGGTTGGTGAATGTTAGGGTAAATTATTTGAAACGTAAATTTTGTGAGGGTCGTAATGTTCGTAATGTTGATTATTTCCATATTCTTGAAACGTATAAGTCTAAACTTTCTGATCATCTCTACTGGAAATTCGTTCAATTGCATGCCTTCTCAAACTCCATTTATGTTATAAATCCCATGGATGATCAAGTCCTTTACAAAGGAACACATGACAAGTATTTAATGTATCTTGCAAACGGGCGCATTGATTTCGAACTAATGCAAAATACCAATAGTTGTAAAAATACAGCAAGAGACATATTGAATGAAACAGATGAGATTTGGTTTGAGGAAGTGACAAATGAAACTAATAATTCTTCTTTTACTATTATGTCTAAAACTGTAGTTCTTGAACCTGAAAACAATGGTATTGCATTATCACCAAACAATAAGCTGCTTGCGTGCAGACACCGACAGACAGTGAACGTTTTTGAATTACCAAGTCTTACAAAGAGTTTTAAACTGGACGTTAGTGAGGTCATTAAAAGCAATTCATCCCTATTTCTTACATTTTCCCCAGACTCCTCCTATTTTTTATATAATTCAATCAGGTCTTGCGTCTGTATTAGAGAACAAAAAGAAACGCCATTCATCCCACATGGACCTAAAAGTTGTTATTTTTCATTTTCTTCTTGTGGAACGAAACTTGTTACATTAGAAAACAAGAGAAACAAAAGTGAATCAAGCAAACCTTTAATAAAAGTTTGGGATGTAAAAAAGAAACATGTGTTAGTAAAAACTAAGTTTGGGTTTTACACGATCGACAATCCTCTTTACGGTTTCTTTAGTAACTCTAACTCGTATATTCTTGTTTGGGAGCGAGGAGATTGTCGTAAAAATTTTCACATCTTCGATTCAACAACGTTGAAACGGATATATATTCAAGGTATTTGTGTTGACACTTGCTTGGAAGATGAAGATGATTTTCCAGTTGCTTCACCGCCACCTTTGTGCAGTGATCCTGATGAGATTAGTAGTATTAGAATTGATCATTTACACTTGCTAACAGGCGAGAGAATTTTAATTCGAAATAAAATTTGTTCTAAGCCTTTTACATGGAAAGATAGAAAATGTGTAGTATCGTCAAATTTGGTTGAAAACGTTATGTGTTTGCACGTGTACGACTTTATAAACCAAGAAATCGTTGACACGTTTCAGATTAGTTGTGTTCGTGGATGCGATGTTAGGATTACTTACTTATCAAATTTGGATGAGTTTAATTTCCTTATTTGTTTAGATTTTGGTCTAGTATTTGTTTTGTCGCTTCAACCTTCTTCAGAATCTTATGCTACTCCTTTGGTCAACAATGCAGATATTAAATGTTGTGCATTGTCTTCAGACAATTTGTATGTAGCGAGCTGTTATGAAAATCGTATTTTGACAATTAAGAGTGTCGAAAATGGAGAAACACTGCAAACTGTTCTACTGACACAACCACCGAATGCTTGCTGGTGGTCAGTGTTGCATCTTTGGGTGGTTTGTAGAGGTGTAATCGTAAAATATCCTTTTGACTTAACGCACTCTAAAGTCTTGGGAAATGAACTTGAGGAACGTCCCATAAGTCCTCCTAATTCTAGCGTCCTCAAATTCGCAGAAGGTGCTCTTGTCCTTTGCGGTGAAATTTTGAAAATTTGTAACGAAACTCTTTGTCCTCTGCAAATACCTGATTTGGATTTGGATCATTCCAACTTTGTAGCAATAAGTTCAGATGGATGTGCTGTTCTTTTATTTCAGAAGGAAAGTTCAGATTATCTGTTATGCGAGGTAACACATGAGAACAGGTGGAAATTAAGTTCGTTGGGAAAATTGAGTATATTTTCAGATAACCCATGCATGTACTTCGGTTTAACTGGTACTAAAAACTGTCGACGTTTCTCGTGGCTCGATAATTGCGTATACCATCTATCTCTTCACAATATTTCTCTATCATCCACTGACTTGCCAAATGGTACGAAGGATGCTATGCATAAAGTAGAAACCTTACCTTCAGACGAAGTCGGGGTTACATGTGTTTATCGAGACTCCAACTTTGTTATTATTCGTCAGTTTAGTTTTTTAATATTTATTCGCTTGTCAGATGGAAAATGTGCCTGTAGTTCCTTTGATATAAGAGACGTTGGTCAGGCCTTATACCTCGCATCACAAGGCTTACTTCTGTTGGTTCGTAGTGATGGTATTACGAAGTTAAAAATTCATAATATTGAGAAATTCTTACTTAATAATTAAATGAAGGATTAGCTGAGAATAATATTTGTTGTTTCCTTTACACGGCGGTCGGTTGCTATGCAAAATCCTCCCGGAAGCGCAGGCTCGCATTGTCAGCAGAGTAGTCCATTAATATTCAAATTTCCCACCAAAATGTTCAAATATGGCGGCCGGCGAATCGGCGATGTCTCTTCGAAGTTATCTAATCTAAACTTAGGCGCGGATAACAATGAAATGGAGAGACCAAAGCATTTTTGGAACCGAGCTTTGGTGGCTATGAAGTTTAATTTCGAGCCTACCTGGCTTGACGCGACATGGAAGGCCGAACAAAAACCAAATTTCGGAATGCGAAATTTGCACTAAGCCACGGTTACCGCGGTATTGCAGAATATACACATTATACTCTACCACTGCACCAGTATACACTGCATATTTTGTATACATATGCTTTACAGTGTATACTCATCTATTATACACAATATAGATGTGAGAAACATGTCTATAGTCAAAACTGTATATTCTCGCAATCTCATGCTTTTATCAACTTGCTATAGCTAATCTATATATATTGTGTATATAGTGTATAGACTATGGTATATATACGTATACAAAATATACACAATATACATGCCTATTTAGACATAGTCAAAACTGTATATACTGTATATTCTCGCTTAATTTTATCAACTTGATTGTAAATATTAATGCATGCAGATATATGAAACGTTGTTTTGTAATCAAATAT